AGTTCATGTACTAGTTTTTGCTATATAAAATATGCTATCTTTTTTGTTGGTGTCTTTAGTTAGATTTATTTGTATGTTTGCTTAAATTGTTTTAGTTAGTTATGTTGTATGTCTGTGATGTATGTTTACAAAGTTTTGGCTGCTGGGTTCCATTTATTGTCATATTAACCTATTATGTCTGTTTGGGATTCTCACCCAATTTTGTGAATATAACGGAACTACAAACAACTGTTACACAAGTGGGAAGTTTGGCTAGCTATAAAACCAGGTTTAACCCACCATTTTTTTCTTTGGAAAATGGCTGTACTAAGTCAGGAATATGACAGTTGATTTTCACTCGTTCCTTTGTTGATAACGTTTGATTTTGTCAGTTTTTTATGGACTTTCCCTTTTTGAATTTACCTTGGAATTCGGTATTTGTGTTAATCTTTTATTGTGTGCATGACTCATTTTTTTCAGTAATATAACTTCATAAAGTACAATCGTGACTAAATCTCATCTCAAAACAGAAAGGAGAAACACATAAGAATTAAAATCATCCAGCTGAATGTTACCTTGAGTAGTGGCCATCGAAATGAAGTGAAATTTAAACAAAATGTTCAACTGATTACTCACAATTCTATTAGAAGAATATGAATCAAAGAATGTATCTGGTTATATGTAAATAAGACAGCAATTCAAAAATATAAGAGCTGTAGCTTAAACGTGGACCACCGGGAGGACCTAAAAACTGTGAAGTAAACATTAATTTGAACAGTACCGTTCGCTCAGCATAGAATCAGGAGACTTATATACAATACAAATACAGCATAAATTTAGTTGTAAACCTGTTATTTATAAACTAATTGGCTGATTGCTGGATAAATTGTCAAATTCTATTTTGGTATGTTGTTTTGTGTCTTCTACCTATAAAGTAGCTGCAAATTGGCTTGATTTCTTACACACGTAACCATGCGTATGTCAAGTTGAATGTACACCAGGCAATGGCTTTATTTCTTTATCTTTCAAATTTGAGAAAAAGGTTAAATTAATAATTACTTAATATAGTTTTTTCCATACATAAAATTATCGACGAATATTTCATATATATAAATAGCCTTTATCTATCTTTACTAAGCAACTTATTTTTGTTAATATTCGATAATTGATCGTATTTTGTTGTGGTTATTAGATATTTTTCAATAAAAATGAACAGCAAGTAGAACCATTGAGAATGTTGATAAATGGTTTATGTCCGATACATAAACATTCTACGAAAACTATTTGAGAGTATTAAAACGTAATATTTGTTTTAATTAAAAGAAGAGAAATAATATGAAAAACACAAAAAGTCCTCATATATTCAAGACTTTGTCACAGTAGTATCATAAGAGGTGTCCTCTTGCTTACGGTTTAACTTGAAAATTATTTTGACTGTACTGGTTATCTCGGATGGTTAAAAATGTAATTAGTTGTTAATATGTGTGTCCTAGTACACATTGTTCTTATATGAAATATGCAACTGGTTCAGTGTGCAACAATACATTTATCAAGTATGGAAACAAAGATGTAGAAGATTTACTTTTTAGTTTTTATGGTTTTGCTGCTTCGTGTCGATCTGATGAGTAAAGTAATTCCAACTGATTTTTACAGTTTTCCCTATGTTGCGCTATAATACTATTGTTCTAGGTTAAGCACTCAAATCCATGTTAACTTTAATAAGACTATCAGGGCATTAGTGCACATCATGATACTATTGAGATACTATAAATCTTGTGAAAAGCTTTGTCGTTGCATATTTGACAATTGTAATGTCTGGATGCCTTTTGTAGAAATGTTTTCCATATGCATGATATTAACACTGAGTATTATTGAATCAAACGTTAAAAATATCAAATAGTTTCATGTAATTATAATCTGTACGTGGGCCTGTAAAATAGACATAATTTTTCCATACAATTTTGTAATTGATTTGGCCTTCCAACTGTTTTGATTTGAGCACCACTGACGAGTCGTATGTAGAAGAAACGCGCGTCTGGCATAACAAATTATAAGCCCAAAGGATGTAGTTTGCCTTTTACAAATGAGTATAAGTCATTTAGTTTATGTTTCAAGTAGAAGGAATGGTGGTTATTATCTTAACTTGTAGGTTGTATGTTTTGTTCTGTTTGTTTTCATATGATTTAATTCAAGTTCGTGTAAACTATATAGTAACTTCCACTTATCGGTTCACTGCAAAAAGACTGGACTTTCTATTATACATGTACACTACAGTTGGGATCAATTCTAACCACTCTTAGACCTTTCAGAATAATAGAACTGTTAAAACAGACTAGTTTCACGGTCGAGCTGTTGGAATCTGTTTGAGAATAGAACTGTCTAAATCTGTTCTAGGATAGAACTGTCTAAATCTGCTCTAGGGTAGAACTGTCTAAATCTGTTCTAGGATAGAACTGTCTAAATATGCTCTAGGGTAGAACTGTCTAAATCTGCTCTAGGGTAGAACGGTCTAAATCTGCTCTAGGGTAGAACTGTCTAAAACTGCTCTAGGGTAGAACTGTCTAAATCTGCTCTAGGGTAGAACTGTCTAAATCTGCTCTAGGGTAGAACTGTCTTAATCTGATCTGATCGTAACTTGAGTTAAAAAAGATAAATGAAATAGTAAAATAATTATAGTCGTGCATGTAGTTCTGTTATTTTTCCGTGCTTATACAATTTATTTTAATCAGACATATTTTTATTTAAATGATAATGCCTAAGCAAAAAGAAAAATATGTGTCGGTATTCATTATTAAAAATCTAGTAATTACATTTTTAAAAGACAATTATGCAGGTAGAGGAACACTGTACGGGTATACGTATTTATTATACTAAGGTAAAATATTTTGATTTCACTGTGACCATATCATATTTTATGAGAAGTGTTTTAGTCCAGACTTTTCCTGATATGTTACTATCTTATGTCAATTTTGGCACACCATTATATTCCCAACAGTTCATTAAGGCTACAAACTATAACAAATTATATTAAGAAAAATAAAACAACACTAAATATTATTATTTAATCACAAAAATTAACAAGATATCTAACAATATTTTGAAATATTTACCCCCAAAAATATAAACGAAATGAAGACGTAAAGGGAAAAACATAAAGAAACAAATGAACAATTTGATGAATAAAGAAATAAGTACATACATACATAGTATAATAATATAAATACAGTAACTTTCATTCAAATTAATGAAATTAATAAAATGAATATCAGACAATTACACTCAATAGATAAATTTATAAATACTTGTAGATAAAAGTTGTCCAAAACTGTTTTAAAAATAAAACTTATCTGTTCTAAGGCTGAACTATTAAAATCAGTTCTAGATTAGAACTTTCCAAAGCTGTTCTAGGTTAAATCTGCTCAAAAAATGTAAGGAGAACTGTTCCTGGTAGATTTTAAGACAGGTTAAAACTAATCCCAAATCCACGTCAAATTATAATTTATGTACAAATTGTTATTGATAAGTTGGAAGGAAGAGGAACACAGTTGGTTCCCATGGGAAAGATGTTTGTTTGTTGAAAAACACGTCCTCCAAAAGTATGAAATATATTGTCAATCAAGAAATCAAGCATCGTGATAACGTTAATTTCAGAGAATATTTTACTAAATTCGATTTATCCCTGCCGAAGTCAAGATACTAGTATCAACGTTGTAAAGTTTCCTAATTCCTTTATCATGCAGTTGATGCGATGTGATTTACGCAAAAAAAAACGATGTTGTTTGGGGTTTTATTTTCGGGGGAAACAATATATTTGTCATGGAGGTAGGAAAGGTGTTTAGCAACATTTAGGTATTTAGATATCAAATTGAATGTAGTATTCATGGACCAATTCAGTTTTTAAAATTCTAATTTGTATCAACGACCTCACAGACTTAACCCATTCTGAATTTGTATCAACGTCTTCTGATTTGCGTTTAGCCCATTGCCTGGCAATATTCTCAACTGAATCCATCAGTATTTTGATATTGTGGTTCCAATTGATTGTTTTAGGCTGACGGTTTTTCGGGCCTTTGGATTACGCATTTCGCAGAGAAGTATTAAAGAAAATGTTAATAACGTGTATAACCAATAATATGTTAGATAGATATGCCAGATTTTCATTGCGAAAGTAGCGTGTGAATTCATGGACCAATACGGAAATTACTCACCTCAGGAGAAAACTTGCAAATTAAAGGATTGAAACAAGACTAAATGATTTTTCTGTGTTGTAAATTTGTATTAATTTCCTTTGGAATTGCTAAAGAATGTGTTTTCGTAAACTTATTATGACATTACAATATGCAATCTAATCCCAAGTAGAACTGCAGATTTTACGGCGTATTACATGGTTTTAGATAAGCAGATAAGTAATAAAATCTTGCTCAATGGGAGTGCGATCATTTTTTGAAACGATTTGTTTAATTGTTTGTGTAACTTGTACTGTGGTTTTTTTTATCTTGTATATTAGAGTTAATGGCTTTCCTTGTACATCTGTTTTCCCTTTTATGTTATGAAACATTTGTTGTTTCTTTGAATAGGACCCGAAAAACCTGTAAAAACCCGCCAAATGTATATGTACTATCCTAAGTCAGAACTTTTGTCAGTCACAGTCTTTAATTTTTACCTTGTGTTTTTTTTGTTCGTTATTGATTTGTGTTTTATACTTGTTTGTCCTTTAGGAGACTCAATCTTGAGATCTGTTAAATTCACCCTTTTTAGACTGTGACAAATGCACAGATTGAAAAACTGTTGAAACAATTATCTATTTCTGATGACTGTGTGTTGCTGTGTTAGATATATTTTGATTTTGTGTCGTTTAGTTGCTATCTCATTGACGTACATCCCCCACACCTTCATCTATTAATATTACATAACAAAAACCAACACATTCATATGTTGATAAAAGCTTTATTATGCATACATTAAAAGCAAATCAACCGATACCTATGGCGTCGGTACCTATATTATTTGTGAGTTAATTAATATATTTTTGGTATATGAATTAATATTCCACGTCGAACGTAACATAAAGATGCAGATGGATTGCTCTACTGCAAAAGCGCTTCAAAATTGTGATGCAAACGTCAGATCTTCAACATGGTCGTGTTAGTTTATAAGTATTACTTTACAATAAATATAAAATGTTTTGCCAGAATATGGTTGCTTTCATCCTTGGTAGAATATTAACCGCAACTTTAAGCTTGTTATAAATGACGACCTACTCGATACAATATTTTGCAATACTTGATATTAATATTATCCATCTCAACTAAAACAGTTGTTGATTGTATATGGTTATTATAAAACTTATACTCCTGGATCATCTTCGATTGACAGTACTGATTTACTAGGTTCAAAAGTAGACATTTTACGATCTTTTTTTTCTTTTTTCTTTGGAAAGAATACCTTTCCAAATTGACGTCTAAATTGCGAACCGGCCCAGTAATAAAGTACAAAGTTAATCGAATGACTTGTATACATTAATAGTTCGCCGATTGTTTTTGCTACTTGCATATTATATAATTTTTGATTTGATCCAATCGTTTCTTTCCAAAATATCAGCATTATCATAATGGTATTGACAGGAACCAGCATAATTAGGACGGAGATTGAAATGGTAAGCACCATGATAGTCATGTAATGTTCCCGATGAGATACTTTGATCTCTTTACCGTTTAAGGATTTTCTAGTTTTTCGTGCGGTAAAAAGGCCGATGATAGTAATAATATTAGTAACACCAATGACACAAAATGGAATCCACGAGTAAATTATGGCATCAATCCATGCCCATACAGTTCGATAAAAGTGAAGGTAAATCAAATGTGGGTCACATGATGTTGAATGGTCACCTGATCTGTTTGGTTGCAAACCCATGGTAAAAAGGAAATGGATATTAGCTAATCCACTTGCTATCAAAATAATCAAAATAATTATCTTTGTTCGTTTGTTGACATCTTCCTTATATCTCTTCAGAGGATATTTAATTGCAATCGCACGATCAATAGAAATAGCAAGAACTATCCAAACACTAGCAACACTACTGAAAAAACCCAAAAATGTGAATAGCGGGCACAGAATATTAGATTCACTCGCGACATCCTTCCCAGTTATTTGTTTTATCCATAATCTTAACAGTCCTGTAAATAACACCACCATGTCTAATGATGCCAGGACATACAAGTAATGGTAACTAGGAAACTTTTTAGAAAATTTAGTGAGAACAATAAACGATAAAATATTTCCAACAATTCCAAACGCTAAGATGAGTGGAGGTAAAAATGTTAGTAGGTTGTAAATAAGAACAGATGCTTGTTGTTCTGAATCAACTTTTTGTTGAATTTGTTTGATCAAATTGTATAACAATTCATGATCACTCTCGTTACCAAACTGTGACAAGTTCATCGATCGTAAGATACCTGCTAAAAATTCATATTCGAAGATATCATCAGTCGGAAAAGACGAATTGCTAGTCAAATCTGAAAAAAATAAAGTATTTCATATTAAACTAATAAAACTAAGCTTTTGAAATAATGCTATATTTCGTCACGAAATTAGCGGTATTTGGCTTAGTTGGTTCAAATGTAATAGACATGCAATTTGCTTTCGTATCGCAGCAAGTAATAAAGCTGACGAAGGCGTGTATGATGCCAAAGAAAGGTATATAGGTCGCTGGTTATCAAATAATAGAACAAATGCAAGTTTAGAAAGGAACGTAACAAATTATGTTATAACAGTGTAGTGTTGATGCTTAAATATGTTCTGTACTTAAGATTTTTCGCCATTTGACTAATTCGGTCGTTAGAATGACAGACTTTTGGTGTATCTTCACATGTTTCGTTGGTTTCATGCCATTCATACTGTCCACTGACTAGAATTTCGAACCGTCTATGTGTAACATCTCTGACACAGTTAATTCAAGATAACTTTTTAGTGCAATATGTAGGTTTGCTTGCCTTTCATGAACACCTCGTAGAACATTCTTATAAGAATAAGGAGATGTGTTATGATTGTCAATGAGACAACTATCCACCAAAGTTCAAATGAAGTGGATGTTAGTTTGTTATTATCATTGTGTTGCCAAGCGTTCCCGAGTTATTTGCTGATTAAATTTGTGCATATCGGTATGAATATTTAAGGTGGTACCAAACACCTAGTCTAAATTAATTTTGCGCGTTTAATTTTCATAAAAATTTTGACAAAATATTTACTTTGACCTTTTGACAAAAATATAAAAATTTCAAAAAACTTGAACCACACACTTTGTCAGAAAAATTTTACCTTAAATTGTGTTCATTAGTTTTTTAAGTTGCAATTGTCGAATATTATCCATCTCAGCACGAATCTTTACATTGTCATCAATTTAAACGTATTCAGTTCAATATATATTATTTGTTGTTTTAGCTATTGAATTTTGCATTATGGAAACAAAAAGTCAGTTTAAATTCTAATGTAACTTTCGTTATTTCAAATAAATTAAATCTGCATAAAATAAATGCGTCTTAGTTTCTTGCTACTGTTTAGTAGCACATTATTCAGGATAGTGTTGTGATGAGTGCAGTTTTATTATACATGTTAGAGCTGCAAATAGTATCTTTTCTGGATAACAAATACTGTTTATAATAAACGATAAGTAAATATACCAGACTTTTGATTTGGTACGCCAGACGCGCGTTTGTCTCCAAACGACTCATTCGAGGGGCTCGAATCAAACCAGTTGGAAAGCCAAATTAAAAAACGAATCTGAAGAACATTGAGTAAACCGTACAAATACAAAACAAAATGCTTTATAAGTGTAAAAAAGCAAGAACAATAACTAACAAAAAACGGGAGCAGAAAAAAAGCTAAAATAAAAGGATTGATTAAAACTTAGGATAGCATAAAATAAGAAAGTTACATAATTAAGGCTTCAACGGTCTTTACAAAGATATATATCATAATGTTGTCGAAGACATTCTAAGATTTACTATTATAGACTTAATACTCACTATACATATTTGGTGTTTGTTGGTTCGATGGTCTATGATAAAATAAGTTTTTACTTGTTCTTAAATAATACTTTTGCACGTGATAATTAAACAAAGTGGAGAGAGGAGGAGCTTACCGCAATCAAATGTCAATAAAAGGACTTCTATTTTGTAAATATTACTCATAACTAAAAAAACAACTGATTTGCTTATTCTTTCACACTTAGCTTCTGATCTTTTGAGGAAAGGAAAAATAACTATCTTTGTTAAATATATGCTTCTCTTTTCCATGAAAAATACGTTGAGTTATTCAAATATATGCACAATCTTACATAAAAAAATAAATATGGCGGATATTGAATGAAATAAATGTATTCCATATCAGTTTTATTCAAGCAGGTTTTTATGTACGAATTGGAATTTGAATAAAACAGCATATTCACTTAAAGAAAATGTTGAAAATTGATAAATTTTACAAAACGTCAAATGCACTCTGAAAATAGGCAAAATGTGAACTCAACGTGCAACCTAAAGAAAAGGTTAGCACTTGATTTTCCCCAACGTCATGTGCGTTTTAATTTGTATAAATATGGTTAAATATTAGATGTACAAGTTGTATATCATGGTATAAAATACACTGTTTTCTCTTTGTATGGAATACAACAATAACTGTCTTTTGTTTCGATAAATATGTTGATTAACTGCTTTTAAAAATTTGAATAAAACCACATTTACTGAAGTAAAAGACAATAATTGTATAATAGTTTTACTTGTGACAGGGTACATTCTCCGTTAAAACAGTTTTAATCAGTAGATTTTGCTCGTAGAAGAATAACAGTATAGTTCATTGCTACTTATATGGAGAGGTAAGTGTTAATCCAGATCTTGGAAATATGTAGGAAAATATGTTAACACAGTCCTACCAGTTTCATCGTTTGCCAAATACATCTGTGTAAAAAATAATAAAACTGGTGTCTTTGATGAGGTAGGAATATTGTCTGACATCATAATTTTGGGCTCTGAGCGTTGACTTCAAAACCTCCAGAGATATAAAAAAATAATTCTTAGCCGAGATCGTATACTAATTCCAAATGTTCGACTCACGTAACGACTGCAAAAGTAAATAGGCTTAAGCTTCCATTCCTAGTTACGCCGTAAAGTTAGCGATCATTTAAAGTGTCCACCATTCGTGCTAAAAGGTGTTGCATCTTGAACTATCTTTTTCGGTAATGGTGGAATTCTTGTGCGGGCTAAAGTGCTAATTACCTTTCTGTATATGACATCTTTAGTCACTACAATTGTTATGCAATGCCTTTATCTTGGAATCCCAAACGTTTGCTGTCTATAAGCTGGAGTTCTTGAATTCTGTGTATGCTCGGGTTATTAACACTGTTTATTGTCAAATATGCAAGCCACTCCATTGTTGGTTTCGTAGTTGTCGTGTAGTATGTTTGGAGTTCACAAGATTGAAAGTTTTTATTTTCAGCTTCACAACGCTTAAATTGTCGTACAAGTGCTATAATTTCTCGATTGTCTATATTTCTTCTTCTCAAAATATGCTGCGTTGTCTATATCTTATCCATTAGAAGTTTGCATTTTCCTTTTCAGCAATTTAAAACATTAGGTTCCGTTGCTTTGCAGATTGTCCCCAACTCGTAACAAATGCGGTAACGCGCATTCATATTCTATAAAATCTGTGCATGTCGATATCGATGATATTTCATATACACTTTATTTGATCAATTATCTTGATTTTTATTTTGTCAATGTCTTCTACGTCGTTGTAAAACGCTGGACGGTATATTGTTAACGATCCATATTGGTCAGTATTTCTTCCTGAAATTACAATGTAGGTCCACTTTACCATAGTTTATTCCTTTTAGTTCTTCATTTATTCTTGGCAGTACCCTCAATAAAGTGATGCAACACTTATCAATTTCTGTAATTCTATTTCGAATAAATTGTGTTTGTAGTTTAACGGATTCAAGCAAAATAAGTATGATTAAAAGGTCTTTTCAAAATTTGAATTTACTTAAGATTCCCGGGAAGCTTTTGCGGATCTGATCGGCAAGCATTGGTTCAAATACAACACCCAAAAGGTCCAATTTCCTTTTCTAGTCGCGTCCTCTCATATATTTCCTCGTTTACTTTTCTTCTATATTTGGTTCAGTTTTCTAGTGAATATAACGTTGTTTTTCTTGATTTATTTTAATTGACTTGTCGGGACCTGATCAGTTCGCTAATCATAGATCATTCCATAAAGCAATCTATAAACAGGTGTTTTGGGATAAACTCCTCAACGAAGTGTCCAGTCATGTCATTCATCCGGTTAAAATATGTACACTGACTGTGCATTCGCAAAGTAAATGGTGTATCAAAGTCGTTTTACAGTTGTAATCCATTCGTTCGATGTGTTTGAGCTTTTGATTTTGCCATTTGAATAGGGGTTTTCCTTTTTGAATTTTCCTCGGAGTTCAGTATTTTTGTGATTTTACTTTTTTCTTATAAAACGTTTAAAACATGCAAAAATCATTGTAACTTTGTGGAAGTATGAAACTGAGTAAGTATAACTATGACGACATTAGTTGCAAAATATATCGGTATTCAAGAACATTTTATATTGATAATTTTTTTTTTAATTTATTCCTGAATGCATTTTTTTCTTTGGTGGTGGTGGTGGTGGGAGAGGGGGGGGGGGGGGGGGGGGGGGGTAATTTGCAAATAATATTTCGATAATATTGATATCGAGAATTTTGTTTTTGAAAACAGTACATAATAATCGTATTTGAAGAAGGATAGATAGGGTGTTAACATTTTAGTCTTCATAAGTATTTTTTTTTATGAATAACGTTCAATATTTATGTCACAATTGGAAAGGTGTTAAACAGAATAATGTATTAATGGAAACTTAAACACGCAAGCTTTAGCATATATAAACGTTATTATTATACTTCATGTCAAAATGCCAGATTTATATAGAGTTAATACGAGAGAGACATTTTACTCTATTCCATGGCAAATACTAGTACTCTATTACCCTTCACGGAGACGCTTGCTCAAGTGTGCGCTTGAATAAATACTGATGGTTGGTATGTACAAGACGTCATAGTTTATTACATTGAATTTGAAATTTAATAGACAGTAATAAAAGAAAATAAACTCATCATAGATACCAGGATTGAAATTTTGTATTTATGTCAGACGCGCGTTTCGTCTACAAAAGACTTATCAGTGACGTTGGAAAAGTTTTAAGGCCTGGCATCCACTAGATATATAAAAGTTAAATGCATTTTGTGTTTCAAAACGTTAAAATCTTTTTTGGAATTTGATGGGCATTTTTATGCCGCCGCCGTAGCGGTGGGGGCATTAAGTTTTACCCTTGTTCGTTTGTACGTACGTCCGTCCGTTCGTCCCATAATTGGTTTTCGTTCTCTAACT